AGAAAAAAATCTGATCAAAATAATAAAGTCTAAAAAAGTCAAAAGTCAACAACCCCGCCCCTGTTTGTTCTCCATGATAGGCGGAGATATTCGGTCATCTTCCGAGGTTAACACGCCCCAACGCAATCACCGTCTGGCAAGGTTTTCGATAGCTTTTGAATTTTATACAGTTACTGACATTTCTGATGCTAATTCGAACAAACCTGATAAGGTGCCACTGAAAGAGATGAACTCTTTGCTGAGAATATTAGCAAGGATATCGAACACCAGTATCAGATCCATAGATTTCTCCTCGATATCAACTTCAACTGATTTGTAACGCTCGAATTCTTCGCGCTGGTAAATGCTGAGCAACTCGGGCAATAACTGCAGTAAGACGACAAAGAATTAGTCTTCTTTCTGTTAACATATTTACTAGAAAATCTGACTTATATAATACTTTACAATTCTAAGGGGTACAACTAACCCAGTGGGTAAGAAAACGCGGTTTTGTGCGTGAAAACAAGCAAAATCAAGGGCTCACAAGTGAAATCCAAGTCTTTTTTTGTAATAACCTAGTTCGTACAGGAACTGGATACTACATCATTACAGAAATAAGTGGTCTGACTTCACGAGACGATTTAACGTTAGTAGTGTTATAGTGGTCACTGCAGGTCAAAAAACTGGCCACTACAGGGTCACTCTAGGCCACTACAAATTAACTTAAGCCAGGGCTGATAAAATCATTATGTTTTCAAAAAAAAAAAATAATTTCCACACCTACCGAATGTATATCGGCCACACAAGAACGATTGTCGAGGAACAGAGAAGTTTTCTTTGTGGTAGCATTGAAAAGATCAAAAACAGCACTGATGAGCGGCTGAGATCCCTTGCGCATCGAGAACAAGGCAACTGAGGTTTTCAGAATTGGACACAAATATTCTAAATGAATCACTAATTAATATCGCAGTAATAATTATCAGCATGAAAAATTAAAAAAAATTCGTTAAAAAAGCAGAAGAAAAAAAGCCAATAAAAAATGGAGGGGAATATCGAAAATGCTTATAAATTATGCAATAAGAGCTAGGCGAAGAAATGAATTTCACAGTGAAAACAATTTTTCTCAGACTTTTGTTCAGGATGGGGAAAGGAAAACCAAAACAACGCAAAAGTAAGTGACAGAATTCGAAATAGACCAAAAAAATCCCTTCCTGTCACATCTCCCTTTTACTTTCTTTAAATAATTTTCCCTCTTTTTATTACCTCTCTCATTTAA